TTTCAGATCCCCTAGATTAAAAGGCAAAAGCTTACTAGAAAAACTAAATAAAAAAAATAAATAGACAGCCCAGAAGCCATCCTATATCAATCCTTAAAGGGCAGAGCAGCAGGATGCTCTGGCGCTCGATAATGTTACCTGCATCACACAACAACACTTTCTGCTGAGTCAGGACCAGCCTTGACATGGTCAGAACCATCTACTTTTCATTTCTCCTCTCCTGCTTTCCTTTTCTCTCCCTGTGTATCCTTCCAAAGGAATGAGCTACATCACTGAATTTCCCTTTAGTCTGCTTCTCCTGTCACATTTCCCATTGGTTTTCATCTGCTTCTTCCACTTGGCCTGATTTGTTTAATGCCCTTTTCCTTCTTGACTAACCTGTTTCATTCCTCCTTAAATACAGTTTTCTAAAACTGTGCAGTCATACCACGGAGACCAAACAAGTACTTGTAACAATCTAGTTGAAGCACTGGTGTTTAAACTCAGTTCTGACTGAGTAAGGGTTTATGCCAGGCCTAAATCAATGTGGAAATGCCCATGAAGTATGTTATAGTCAGTTTTAAACATACACATACACACAGGCTCTTGGCCAAATGTCTGTCTGTCTAAAAAACATTCTAATATGGTTCATGCCCATCCAGACAGGCTGGTTACACACCACTGTAATCTTTGTTTAAACTGTGGTTGTTAAATGCATTTTATTTGTTCTAGGCAAATGATGCTTTTGTTTTCCCTTCCATCTCCTTATGCAGACTTCATGTGGCATATACCTGGATAAAATTATCCCCTGGTAGGCCCAGTAAGCTCGGAGTCTCCCCTCAACTGGCTTTTTGTTCGTACAGCAGTGAAGAGACTCTTTTGCACGCACCTGCCTCCTTTCTTTGTCCCTGTTTTATGCCCGCGCAGGCACAGGACCTCGAAGACAGAAACGCTGCCTCGGACACTCTTTCAGAGTTTGCTAAAGCACGTGGCTGAACATCGAGATGCCTCCCTCAACCCTCTGCTGTGCTCCTTGTCTTTGCACGTAGCTTTAACCAAATTACATACCATCTTCCTTCCTACCAGGCAGGTCATCTTTAACAAGGGCAACAGTAAACAACTCTTGGCTTCCTTGGGAACATGGATGGCTTAATTGCACTGACAGGGTCTTGAAATTCTCAGGTGGGCGAAATGTTTATTCCACCCTGAGCTGCATCACTGCGTGGTATTAACATGCGTGGCCTCTTATCTCTTTCTCACTCACCTCCCTGCAGTTCCCTCAAGACATCAAGTGGCAACAAATAGAAGGAAAATCCTTTTCCTCTCCGGAACTCTGTTTTATTCCACAATTTATTTTCATGAGATGCCTCAACCTCGGAGAGGTAATTCTGCCCGTGGTGCTGAGCAACTGTGACTCCCACTGAAATCAATGGGAGCAGAGAGTAGGCATCTTGTGGCAGAGACCGGGCTTAACCTTGTGTTTACTATTTCAAGATTTCACAGGCTTGTCTTGAAATAAAAGGAGAAGTGCATTATTTACTGAACAACTTTAACACATTTCAGCAAATTATTCCAGGAACGGTACGTCCATACAAGGGAATTCTACCTTAAAAAGGCAATTTTAAAGGAAGACTAGCTGTAAACAAAAACTCAAACCTGTATTAACTTCAAAGCTTAAAAGAGAAGGGAGCAAAGCACCTGGCAAGACACGGAGAGATCCTAATCTCCCCTTTCAGGACAATTCCCCTATCTCAAGCTTTTGGTTCTCTGCATATAGAATGATTTGTACCCAATTAAATGTCTTTTTATCTAGGGCAATGCAGACAGCGATTCTAAGGTGGCTAAATCCAATGAATCCAGGTATCCTCTGAAAACTTGGAGAGGAAGATCAAAGACAAACACGACAAAGAGGCAGGTAAGTTAAGATGGCAGGTCTCAGACCTGCTCGAGTGAAAGCAGCGTGGTGACTGTGTGTATTCATGCAGGTGTGGTGCATCAGAATGATTTCCCAGCACGGGTTTGGGGTGACCCGTGTAACTCCCATGTGCTGAATTGTGCAGGTCACTGAGAACAAAGGTCAGCTAAACCTTTTTTTTTGCCACCCCATGATGTATTTTAGATGTGCCTGATGTTTTGCAAAACTGCGTGGCAATTTAGGTCACTTAAATACATACAACTTTTTTTCTGTACCAACACATAAACACACGAATTACTTTCTTTGGCACATAGCATAACACATGGTTTTTTGATTCTGAACTAGCTGGATGGGCACAATTTTTAATAGTTGGACTAACCGTTTAATCTGCAAAAGCAAAACTTCTGTTCCCAGGTGGAACTACTGATGTTTCTGCCAGGGGAGAGCCAAACTGGAGGGAACAAACAGTTACGCTGAGGAAGCCCAAAAAGTGTACTTGCTGACATAAAAATCAGACCATTATTTTATTCTATGCATTGCAAGTTCAGAATATATTTTTTTAAGATAAGGATTCTAATTTCCAAAGATGCCTGCACCCTTAGTTGCCATTAGAACTGTTGTTCACGTGGCTCTTAATGAAGGCTTGTGTCAGCACTTCCACTACAAATCTCTGCCTTTTGGGAGTTTATAACTCAGCCATAAAACTCTGCTTTAGGCTGAAACTTAGCATGAAAGGGTCTGCCTGGAAGAAATGCCATTCTTTTGTATTTTAGAGTCCCAAAAGCTTATAGCAACAAACCGGGGTTTTTATTCTAAAGGCTGCCATACAAAAAACGTCAACTGTTTTTTATACGAGTGCTGGGTGAGATGTGCCTTCTAGACCGGCTTCTAGGTGCTTACTGACCGGGGTGGGGGGTTGTGTTCTTAACGCTGTAAATTTTAGGAATTACGGGTTTTGTGCTTTAGGGCCAAAGTCTGTGCTTACTTAAATACCGGTGAATTCCTCTGCCCTCACCCCTTCCCTAACAGAGTATGAATCAGTCCAGATTTCCCACCCTTCGCTCCCCACTGCCTCCCTGAGCCTCCTGGGGATGCCAGCCTTAATTCATACTCCAGCACTCAATAAAAACATCGATGGACTTGTCTCTCCGGGTGCACAGTTTAGGCTGTAACGTTCACACACCATGCTGCCAACAGAACAGTCCAAACTGTCCTCAGGTAGGGGGAAGGGAGTGGGAACGTGTGAAAGGGTTAAAATGACAGAGACTATTTGTCCCTCAGTCTTCTGCTGCCTACTTTCACCCCTGAGCCACTGGTTTTTGGGGGAACACACAGAACAGGGGCACAACTTGTTCACACTGCGGTTGAAGGGCAAGCGATGGAGATGGAAGTCATTTCAAACCCTCCCTGCTCCGGTCACTGATGCTTACATTTGCAAAACATGTAACAGAAATGCCCACATCACCCACGATCCCGATGGGTATGTCTTCCTAAAGCTCTTACACTCTTCTCTTAAGAAAACACTACGTTTGCTGCACTCAAGTCTTATACACATTAAGTCTTGTCACAAAAGTCATCAGATCAAATTATTTGCACTCCCTTGTCCAGACAATCTGATCTCTACAGAGTATGAATTGTTTCTTCAATGTTTGTGAAGTGGCCAGCATGCAGTAGGCACTTCCACTAGGAGTAGTAGAAGTAGTAATAATATTTTCCTACTGTTTTTAAATCTCTAACTGAACAGGAAGTTTACACAAAGCATCAGAAACTCCTTTTAGCAAAGCAAAAAAGTTATTAGTGGGCTGTTATTTGCAAGCAGATCCAATGGGCCAGATTCTGATTTCTACAGTATCCACATACGTACAAAGCACATACAGAACCAGATTCCAGAGTGCTCTGCACCCCATCTACCTCCCTCTGTTCTATGTTCCCCAAGACATTTCGCAGCTGCACAGATTAATTATTCTTGTTCTAGAAAACACGCTGTACCCGCCAGGCTCAACTATTTCACTCCGGTGTGGTGGTAGTTCAGTATAAAAGAGAAATTTCAAAATTCATTTTCTTTTTCTAGTGCAGAGGCAAATTTCTGCAGCGATAATTTTAAAGGATTAGAAAAGTTTATGACTGCTGGCAACTCATAAAGAAAATGCAGTATGCTCAGGGTATCAACTGACCCAGAGGTCACAAAGAAATATTCATGTTTGTAACTGGATAGCTTCAATTTATGAATTTCCACCTTCTTAGGGCATCTGATACTGTAGGAAACCAGACTTTAAAACCAATATACCAGACTGGTTTGGCAGTCCTTCTCATAATTCAGGCTTCTATGTCATTTCTTTTATTTACGCTTTGTAAAACACTTGTCATTTTTTGAATGTCAATTTTTTTCCCAAGCTGACTTGTAAATACTTTCGCACTGCGTTTTTGCAGCTGTGGTTCAACTCATTCATACTTCATGTTGCAAAATGCAGAGTCCTGTTGGCTCCAACATTTCATACTTCAGCACGGCAGTAGGATGCCTACATGCCGAAGTTTTTGCAAGACCAGGGTGTCTCAGAGTCATCATATTATCTACAGCTTCTGTTGTCCAGTGATTCATTTCACATGCAGCCACAGGCCCACCCTTTAAGGGAGCGCTGCTTTAAGTTGGCAAAGCACAACACTGCAACTCCTGAGGAGTTCAGGAGCATCAGTCAGTTTGGCCTTCAATGAGCATTTTGTGCAAAAAATCGCTTTTGCAAATGAAATGCAGACTCCCAGGTCTCTCATGTCAGGAAACAGATCTGGGCCACCCCAACCCTGCATTCTTCCAAAAAAAGGACCAGAGTAAAAATATCAAAACCAATAATGGGCTTTCTTTACCAGACTAATCCATTCTTTCTTCCAACATAAAAGAGACTGTTTCCCCCCCCCAACAACTTTCCCCAAAATAAAAAACAAAAGAAAGGGTATGTGGCAAGGGGAGAAAGAGGAACAAAGGAGGAAGAAAAAAACCCCACAGCCCTGACAGTTAGAAATGTTCATTTACAACTAAGAGCATCCATATGCCAGTAACATATCATAAACTCTTAGCCTACCATACAAAGAGGGTGCCCCAAAATGGTACCTGCAAGAGGTCTCTCGGAAGGAGATGTTTAAATCCCAATGGGTGTGTATCCTGTTAACAAACAAACAGAGAGGTCAATGGCACATGCTGAACACTGCATCTCTTGCTGCTTAAAAAAAGAAATGCTCCATCATGACAACCCACCCATGGTCCTCTCTGAGTCCCTCGCCCTAGCTCTCACCCACAGCTACTGCCTCCTCTCCTCCGGAGCTGGGGGGTGCTGTGAGGAGCCCCCCTGCACACACAGGGCAGTGCTGAGCGTCCCCAGCAGGACTCGCCGCTGTCAGGGAGACCTGCAGGCGAGCTACACAGTGGTGAGAGACCTTCTCCTTGCTGCATGCAGTCTCCTTAATAGATGTAGGGACTGCAGGGTGTTGTCTCGACTAATAGGACACATTCAGAGGAAGCAGAAAGAGCTAAGCATTGACATTTTATGAAGAAAACCCAAATATGTCTGTACTGTATTCCCTCCTCCGCACCCACCCCAGCTGTAAATAAATTATTAGCAATTTCCCACCTCGGAAATTAATTTCACATATTCTGTCACTCTGCTGCTGACAAGCAGGAACAGCAGATTCTAGATGAACAATATCCTAAATTAAGACAGAGCGGCCAAGGGGGTTGTTTTTCTTGTTGGTTTTTTTTGTTTGGTTTTTTTTTTTTCCCCTTGCTATTAGACAGACTCTACACCAACCCAGAGGGCTAAGGCAGATGCTTGACCTTCTGTGGTGTGGTGACTCCACTCAGTACCAGGGAGCACCGATCCCCCCCGCCACGCAGAGGAGGTCTGTGACCACCACTGCTCCTCGGTGTCAGCATGATTGATGGGAACCCCAGCCATCTGAGACCAAACTGGCAAGCAAGCCCCTATCCTTGCACAAACCCACTCCCACATCTCTCAGCATCTGCCAGGGAACATGCTGGTTCCTAGCTGTGCGTATAAATCAGCTCCTGCAGATGTAGGTTCCCCAAAGCATTAAAGAGAAGTGGCTGCAAATATCACAAGTAGCAGAGGCCAAATGCACTTTGGTGTATTTTGTGTACCCTATAGCACTCCTGCCTCGGCCCTCAACTAGAAAAAGAACCAGTGTGTAGCTGAAAACGATCCGACTGCAGAAAAAGTCTAATCTAAAACCTGCTGAAGTAAAAGAGAGCCTTTCTTACGATCTGAATGTGCTTTGAATTGAGCCAGAAAACACTTAAGCATGACCAGTGAAGTCAATGGGACTTAACTCAGGCTGGAGTGTCTGTTTAAGTGCTTTCCTGAATGGGTGCCCCTGCTTCAGCCCAGTTCAGAAATCAGCTGAAAACAACTCTTAGCACGGAAATAATTTCACATCCAAGACATGATGCTGCTGCAAGTTTTACTAATGTGACAGCATACCTTTCGTGCTCTTCCTGCAAGACTGGCTCAGAAAGGGAGCCTGGTTGCTCTCTGAGTCGTTCTTTTAGGGGATTGTTAAGACTTTAGTAGATATTAACTTCCACCGATAAAGTTGCGCTCAGAACTGTACTTAGCAGTTCCACATGCACCCAGTTTTTCATATTCTTCTTCTTCCTCATATGTAACGGTTTAGAAAACCTATCCCCGCTTTCCATATTCCTGACATTTTATTTGCAAATAGAAATGGAATAGGTACTTCCCAGCCACCGAGCTTATAGCATTAACAGTTGTTCTTCAAAGCTAAAATTCAGACAACATTTGAAAGCTTTCTGGAGAGGACAGGCCAAACTGGGCACCTGAGTAAAATTTCCATGAACTGAAGCTTGGTCAAACTCTGGGACACATTTGGACTTTCCAGGTAAACAGATCTGAATCCCGAGTTCAAAGCAAACTGAAGCCAGCCCAAGCTCTTATGGCCCTAACAGACCCAGAAGGCTCTGGCCTCCTCACAAGAGAGTGGAATTGGAGGGTGGTAAGCCTGATTTCACACCGCTCCCTGGAATACAAGATTTCCCACATGCACAAAATCTTCATAAAACCCCTTTAATTCCAGCTCAGCACCTTGCACTGTGCAAATCAGATCCTGGCAGCTGCACAGTGGAAGTGGGGAGAGCTCCCAATACTGCACAGCGGTGAACTCTGTGGGACCAGCTGGAAATCAAACGGCAAGTCTGAAAAGGAACCTTGTGCGTCTCCCATTTCTTTGTCCACAGAACATTCTTCAGTTCCCTCAAAAAAAAAAAATGGAAGGGTTTGGCCCTGAATTATATCTAGACTAAATGCTGTGTTTGTCTGATGAAAACTCCATGGTCCCTTTCCTGATAAAAAAATTACAATTCAGAGTACCTGTGGTTAAGGTAACCCGCCCCATGGGTCCCTCTCTGCAGGCAACACACATTTCCTCCAAGCAGTTCCTCTGAGCTCCTGCAGAGCCCAACAGTGGCCCATAGTCCACTTGGGACCCTACACGTGCTCCCATTACACCCCCGTGTGTGCTCCACAGGGCCCTCGCAGAGCCTACGTAGGGGGCACACAAAGATGCACAGCAACAGAGCACCCCGTTCTGCCTAACCATTCGGTCTCACCCCATAACTCAGGTACGTGCCTCTCCTTTCCATAGATGCTCAGCTCTGGAGCTCACAACACAGTAGACATCCACCTATTATAACACCACCTGGCAGGTAAAAAGTGGTTTCCACACTGGACGCTCAAAGCAGGGCTGCAACGTTCCTCTTCTCCGTGCAGCTAATACACCCCATTCCAAAGCTCCCATCCACACTGGGAGCTGCCATCGCTTCCAGCTCTCTGACTCAGATCCTGGGACATAACGGGAGCGCCCACATCCCACCCGAATGCCAAGGAAGCAGGTAGGCAGGTACCGCCCAGCCGTGGCACTGCAAGAGGGCACAAGGCTGGAGGGTGACATGATCTGCTCAGGCAGCAAAGGGAACTGAGAGCAGAGCAGGAGCTTGCCCAGGTTCCCGGCTCAACACTTGGGTTCAGTCTCTAAATCAAACTCTCAGCCTTCCATAAAATGTAACTTCTCATGGTCTGTTGCAGCTGCTGACATGGGCAGACTGCAGATAGTGATCCTGAGTGTCGGGAGAAGGCATGGCTCATAATGAGACTTAGCACAGCTAAACTTCAAAGTATGAGAACGCTGCATCGGAGAGTTATAAGTAGGGGGAAGGGAAAATCTCATGCCGAAGGAATAGCTCGGATCCATATAGAGGCAGAAACATCTATCTGCCGAGATGGATAATTAAACACCCATATTTAGACAAATGAATAGGTGAGAATGAAATTAAATTCTAATTATCTTTTGGGGGGGGAGAGGGAGGGGGCAATGGGGAGCAGAATCAAGCACTCATTCCACATCTCTATGCCGTTATCACCAATTAGATTTCTGAGGCTAATGTACGTCTTGCTTTAACGGGTTATTCATCCAGTTGAAATCAAATTACTAATAATTTGCAAACTATCAGCTACACAAACCCGTCCTTGGGTTGTATAAAGAGTGGTGAGCAGAAGCCACTCCCTTACAAATTAATAACAGAAAGGAGGGGGGGGAAAAATAAAAACCATGGCAAGCCAAGGTGCTAGAGCTCCCACTATCTCTCCCACCTCCTCACCCACCCAAGGTTTATGGTGTGATCGGTTTGAAAAGGTTCAATAAAAATGACCAGGTGAGCCCCACAGCAACAGAAAGGAGCAGGGAGGGCAGTCAGGGGGGTACACAATCTGGGTGGGGGGGTGGTTAACAAACTGCTGTATCAAGGCACGTCAGCACGGAGGGATTAGCATGGCAGGTTTCGGTTTGTGTAAAGGATGAAGTTGCTTATATATGTATGTGAATCCAAAAAAAAATTAACAGGAAGGACTGCTGCTATTCAAGACATCTCTGGAGCCTGGACTGGAATGAGAATCCAGCCCAGAAAAGAAAGTGACAGAGCTGGCAAAATAATGGAGAGCAGCTGGGATAGTTTTTAATTTTTAAGTTGTTTCTTTCCTTCCCTGTCATTTCTTTTTCACCCTAGCAGTCCCCGCAAGCTTTCAACACCAGAGTGGCAGCCGTGGAAGAGGCCAGCGGAGTGAGTCAGGCATCTCCCCATCGTCTCGTCACTCCAGGGGCAGTAACAACCTCATTCTGCAGCTGAGCCTCTGCGCCGTGGCCAGCTTGTGTTCTGCTGCTGCCTTTGGCTGGCTCTGCTGGCCCAGGTGCGTGCTGCACTAACTGGTACACGTGCCACACAAGTGTGGGGAATACTGGGCAGCATCCAGCTACAGAACAGGACACCCTGCCAGAAGGAGAACCCATCACAGCCCCATCTCTTACCCACAACTGTCCCTTTCTGCTCCCATTTAATTATAAGACCAACACTTCCTCTGGATGGAGTCTGTATCTTTCCATTTTCTAGCACAGGCAAGGCCACAGAGAAGAGAAAAACACTGACAAGGTTCCCCCCCAGCCTCTGGTTTAGAAGACGGCACTGAAGGGACAGTGCTGGCCAGAGGGGAGTTAAGGACTCCAGTTCAAGTGGCAGAGCCCAGCGCCCCCACGGTCACCGGGAACTCGTGTCAGGCCCAGGTACGACCATCCTGCATGGACACACAGAGCCCTGAGGCACAGGGTGAGGCCCGTGGGGAAGAGATTTTGCAGGTGCCACCCTGCAGGCTGCTTGGGTGACTGGTGAGAGTTAGCTCTTCTCTTCTCCCCATACATCGCTGCTCCCACAGGCTCCCTATATCCATGCCACACTATTTTCAGGCAGCCAACATTAAGAAGCTTGTGCAGGCAATGAACAGGGGCAGGCTCTTTCAGGAAACCTCATACATGATGGCTGGAAGAATGACCTTAGAACTGCAGCAAGACTGAGACTTGAACTTCGGGCATCTGGGCTATTCTCCACCATGGAATTGAAGTTGCCAGGGTTAGATATAAGGAGATACAGAGAGCAGCCAAGAGCACTTGTGAGTCAAGATTTCATTTCCTTTCATTCTCACACTTCACCTTTCTTTCTGGTCTCATATCTCCTTCCTGAGCAAGAAGGGATTTCTTGCTCTTTATTATATTTTATCCTGCAGCATCCCTGAGAAGTAAGTAGCC